CATGAAACATCTTCTTATGGGTGTCTACCAAGTCTGTTCAAATAAACAAATAAAAGCCCTTGGGTAAAAATTGGCCCGGGGGGATGGGGGGGGGCTATATACAGGTGAGCGACCTCAGGGCCATCATGGCCCTCTTGTTTTTTTTTAAAAGTTACTTATTTACTTCATACTTCAAATATATGTTCCTTATCAGTAACCACATCTTATGTGACAAGATTCATCACTCTAGCACCAATATTGCAAGAATTATCTCCCCATGAACTTATATGTTTACTTTCAAAATGTTATTTTTTATTTCAACTTCTTTAGTTTTAAAGGTATCTATCTCAAACGTCTAATACATATTTCTTATCATCAATTACATTTTTATGTGACAAGTTTCATAACTCTTGAACCAATATTTTCAGATTTATATCCCTTTGAACGAAGAATTTTCTTTAAGAAATATTATAACTTTTTTGCTTTTTAATGAACTGTTCTTCAACCTTCAAATATATATTATGTCTTACCATTACACACATGTTGTGTGACAAGGTTCAAACCTCTAGCGTGACTATTTCCAGAATTATTCCCCCTTGAACTTGGAATTGATGTTAACAAATAATATTTATTTACTATTACTTCTTGTCATATGGATAAGAGTTATAAAACGTAAGCTCTTGTATTCCCAGAATTATTTCCATTTAAATTTTGAACTTAGAATTCATTTGTAAATTGATTTTGTTTTGTATTAATTATGCCCCCCTTCGAAGAAGAGGGGGTATATTGTTTTGCTAATGTCGGTCTGTCTGTCGGTCGGTCTGTCCGTCAGTAGACCACATGGTTTCCGCTGATTATCTTGAAAAGTATTTATCACAAAGTCTTCATATTTCACATAGTGATTGGTCATAACTAGTAGATGACCCCTATTGATTTTGGGGTCACTAGGTCAAAGGTCAAGGTCACAGGGACCTTAAATGTCAAAATGGTTTCCGCTGATTATCTTGAAAAGTATGTATCACAAAGTCTTCATATTTAACATAGTGATTGGTCTTTACTAGTAGATGACCCCTATTGATTTTGGGGTCACTAGGTCAAAGGTCAAGGTCACAGGGACCTTAAAATGTCAAAATGGTTTCCGCTGATTATCTTGAAAAGTATGTATCACAAAGTCTTCATATTTCACATAGTGATTGGTCATAACAAGTAGATGACCCCTATTGATTTTGGGGTCACTAGGTCAAAGGTCAAGGTCACAGGGACCTTAAATGTCAAAATAATTTCCGCTGATTATCTTGAAAAGTATGTATCACAAAGTCTTCATATTTCACACTAAGATTGGTCATCACTAGTAGATGACACCTTTTGATTTTGGGGTCACTAGGTCAAAGGTCAAGGTCACAGGGGCCTTAAATATCAAAATGGTTTCCGCTGATTATCTTGAAAAGTATTTATAACAAAGTCTTCATTTTTCACATAGTGATTGGTAATCACAAGTAGATGACCCCTTTTGATTTTGGGGTCACTAGGTCAAAGGTCAAGGTCACAGGGGCCTTAAATGTCAAAATGGTTTCCGCTGATTATCTTGAAAAGTATGTTTCACAAAGTCTTCATATTTCACATAGTGATTGGTCATCACTAGTAGATGACCCCTATTGATTTTGGGGCCAATAGGTCAAAGGTCAAGGTCACAGGGGCCTTAAATGTCAAAATGGTTTCCGCTGATTATCTTGAAAAGTGTGTATCACAAAGTCTTCATGTTTCACATAGTGATTGGTCATAACTAGTAGATGACCCCTATTGATTTTGGGGTCACTAGGTCAAAGGTCAAGGTCCTTTAATGTCAAAATGGCTTTCGTTGATTTTTCCATAATTGAACACTTCCATGTACCCATTTTTGGCAAGTTTCTGTAATAAAATTACCAATTATGTGAGTCAATGGCTAGAAAGGGGGGTATATGTGTCGTTCGACATTCTTGTTTATTTTTGTTATTATAAATGGTATCTACTCTAGACTTAAGATAAATAATTGTTGTTTTTTGTCATTTCTCACATCACATATAGAGAAAGGTTCATAACTCTAGTATCTTTATTTCAAGAGTTATTTCCTCTTTGAATTATTAATTTTACTTTTTAAAAACTTTATACTATACGTTTTGCTCTAATAATTTTTCTTTTTGAAAGGATTGACTCCAGATTGCATATAGAAATGTCTAAGATATGGTCGCATGCATATTATGTGTTGCAAAAATATTGAACATTTGAGTGATGCTTTCTTGATACTGATACAGAAAAACACTTGTATAATAATTTATTTTTTTTTACCCCTTTACGGTGTTCAGTGTTAAATAAGGCGAGCTTCACTGTCTGCTGTAACAGCTCTTGATGTGTTGCCTGCTACAGAGGTGCAAGATATAGGGATTACTTCTCTGTCGTCCATCTGTCCATCACAAAACTTGTCAGGACTACCCCTAAAAAAACTACTGGTGCAATTTTATCCCAACTATTCACCAGGTCTAGTTGTACATATGGCGGCATTTTCCAGTTCAATGATTTTTGTCAAGTTATTACCCTTTAATGATTTTTAACTCACTTGTCACAAAGTGACCTGGTGAGCTTCTGTGATAGCATTTCGTCTGGTGACTGTCCATAAACTTTTACTATAAACAACATCTCCTTATAAACTGCTAAGCCAATTTTATCCAAACTTCACAGGAATGTTCCTTTGGTGGTCGCCTGTAAAAATTGGGTCGCCTGTAAAAATTGTTCAAGACTTTAATTCATGCAGAATTCTGGTTACCATGGCAACTGAAACAAAAAACTTAAAAAATCTTCTTTAAAAAAATGTAAGTGCTTAGATATTTGGCATGAAACATCTTCTAGTGAGTGTTTACCAAGTTTGTTCAAATAAAAGCCCCGGTGTCAAAATTGGCGCCGCCCTAGGTCATCATTGATTTTCTTTATATGTACACATCTTTTGGAACTGTTTGTTTCCCTAAACAATACCAATCAGTAATGTTTTTAGACATGCACTACAGTGTATTTCAGATACAATTATGAAGTTTGTGTTATCAGTTTAAGAGTTAGATTTTATATCTGCTTTTGTTTATAGTTTACAATATTACTTGTTATGTTCCTTGTCAATGAGAGTTTTTATATTCAGGTGATGCAATTTGAATGAAACTTTAAAGGATTGATCTGTAGGTAAAACCCTTGCGCATATTAGTCAAGTTCTTTGTTGAGTTGATTTTTGGCTTAGTTATGGCCCTTGAATAAATACATACAACTTCGCTAAATCTGTGAATTTGTCTGTCTTTCACAAAACTTGTCGGGACTACTCCTCAGAAACTACTGGTGCAATTCCATCCAAACTTTACAGGAATTATCATTACCAAGTCTAGGTGTGCAAATTGTCGGCATTTTCCTGTTTCATGGTCTGTATGCTACCTGAAGGGTGAGCATATAGTCGCCACTTTGTCCGTCCGTCCACTTTTCTTGTCCAGGACAACAAGCAGTATCAACATGAAAATTTGTAGGTAGATAGATCTCATTGGGTAGATGTGCAGTGCACAAGAACCATAACTCTGTCTTGCCTAATTTTGGAGTTATTGCCCTTTGTTAATTTTTAAACTTTGTCCGGGACATAAGTCTAAAACTATAAGAGATATCAACATGAAATTTTGAAGGTAGATAGATCCCATTGGGAAGATATGCAGTGCACAAGAACCGTAACTCTGCCTTGCCTATTTTTGGAGTAATTGCCCTTTGTTCATTTTTATACTTTGAGCTTTCTCTTAAAATATAAGAGATATCAACATGAAACTTTGCAGGTAGATAGAACTCATAAGGTTGAAGTGCAGTGCAAAAAAAAAACAATTTCAAATTGACCTTGACTCATAAAGAACCTTTACCTTAAAAGTCAAATTATTGTCATTTAATTGTTTTGCAAAATTTGGCTATAACTTTGTAAGTAAGGAATGGATTGTCTTCATACATGGGCACAGCAATCCTTGGAAACAAGACTTTTAAGAATATTTTAATGAACTTGACCTTAAATCGGGTTAATTTGACCTTGACACTTTATAGAGGTTTACTAGTTTACCAGGCAAAGCCAAAAATCTAAAATCTGGGCATTGTAGTTTTTGAGAGAAAAACTTAAATTTTATATATGTCTTTATAAACTAAATTAATTTCAGTTGGTAACATGAATTATTCATTGATTTTTTCATAGTCAAATGTGAAATTGAACACAATGCTAAGTTCTAGTTATTTTTACCTGTTCACTGACCATTTACACCTGGATGGGCATATTGTTATTGTCTCTTTAACAAATGGTGGGGCGTCTGTGGCCGAGTGGTTAAGGTCGTTGACTGACTTCTAACAACTTACCCCTCACCGCTGTGGGTTCGAATCCCGACAGGGACTTTGAATTCTTTCATGTGAGGAAGCTATCCAGCTAGCTTACGGAACGTCGGTGGTTCTACTCAGGTGCCCGTTCGTGCCTGAAATAATGCACGGAAGAGCACCTGAGGTCTTCCTCCACCAGTAAAGCTGGAACGTCGCGATATGACCTATACTGTGTCAATGTGACGTAAAACCCAAAACAAACAAACAAACAAAACTTTAACAAATGTGACAATAACAAATTTAAAGATGCGAAAGACCTTTACTTAGATATTTTAAAAAAAAATTAAAAAGATTTTGACTACTGTCTGTTTTTCTCTGGAATGATACAAGTCTAATGTTTCGATTCATATAATAAAATGACTCATTGGTTTGTCTTTGAATGAATCCTCAAAGTTAATATACTTTGCCCTTGATATAATCTTAGAGGATAATGAAACCCGTATTTTATGAGCAGGTATTTTATTCTGCCGAAATTATCTAGTTTAGTATGCTATTTACATAATTTTGATAGAGGCTCATAGGGAAGACTGGGCTTGCCTAACTATGTTGCCTCTTTAAATAAAGTCTTTATTATTATTATTATTATTATAACATGTGTGACATATTTATTTCAGGCTTCCGTCGTCCTATCATTGTATTCACGAAGTCGGACACGGTTCAAAACAGTCCCTGGTCGGAAGTAGGAAATGCCACACCATTGAGAAGTAACCATCCAGCAGTATTCGGGAGTCATTTAAGCCAGATCTCAGAGGACAGTTGCTGTTCGTGTTCGTCCGTCTCGCATCAGTCTGTAGCAAGTGATGCAAATGACGTTGCTGCTGCGTCCCAGCAATCTGCAGCCAGTGACAACATTGAAAAGGGCGTGTCGTTTCAGGAATCTTTAGTGCCGGAAAATGTTATTCAACCTTTGTTGACAGAAGAATTGTTAGATTTCACTGGCGACGGTTCTATCAAACCGGTTTCTGCACAGCATCAGCTTGATGGAAATTGCTCAAGTTCAACAGATGTAGTGATTCCCTCAGATTGTAGCGCAAGTTTGAAATCTGTGTCAGAAGATGAACCTTGTAAGGAGGTAGTGTTAAAAGACGGCAAAGAAAGTACCAACACTTCATTGGATCAGGATATGTCGGAAACTCAAAATGAGGCTGAAGGTCCCGAAGACACTGTGGCTGCTAGCTTATCAAAATCAGGTGAAAACTGTGGATCTCCAGAAACAAATCGTACAAATAATAACATTGATGAGATGGACACTAATGACTTTGAAATGAAAGAAAAGGATAGTTCTGATAAGGACACTTAGCTTAAAGTTGAATGACTCTTTTTGTGGCATTATCAATCAGGAAATCAGTTAATAAGCTCAAGGTTATTATTGCATGGAAAAACGATATTTGAGTTGAATAATTAAAGGTCACTTGAAGCATACAGTGCACTAGGTTATCTTTAAGGATTGTTGAATTTCTTTTAGCACCTTCAGTGTATCCTATAATTTTAAAGATGATGTCCATTTTATACCAAACTTAAAGGCACATTATTCCTCAGAAATCCATTTTATTTTTAATTCTTTAGAAATATCAAACATGTGTTTAATAATGTTTAAATAATGGATTAAGTGCATATAAGATGTTTTACAACTGAAAACAAAATGTAACAAAGTAGTATTTTTCACTTTCATAAATAATAGAGTTTCTGAGGCATATTGGGCCTTTAAAATGTGCAGATATTGAAATTTTCCATTTTGATATGAATTTGGTATTCTATAATGTCTTAACTACCATTGGCAATACCTGTGAATTTAACTTTTGATGATTTAATGATGAATGATACATTGTAATTAGGTTCCACTTAAAAATTTCAGATGAAAACTACCAGATGATGAGAATGAATAAGATCGGCTAACCTATAATCAGAACCATCTGTCATTGCCTTCCTTTGTGTTGTCTAAATTTAAAATCCTTTATATAAAATGACCCTATGTCAAAAACTGAATTTAGACATTATATTCTTCTCTAAACGTCCAATTGCTGTATTCAGTTGGGCATTAAAAATTATTTTATCTTCTATATATAAATGTCTGGACATAATTGTTTTGTTCTTTATTATAGTTTAAACACTTAAACTGCAAGTACCTTATTAGACTAGTGGAGCTTCCATTTTTAGAACTGTCCATTTACATTTATGTCATGATAAGAATATGAAGTTGGTCAGCCAACAGTATAGAGCCTGGTCAGACTGAAAGAAGGTACAGCCTGGCTCCATACTTGTGGCAAAAGCTTATATACAGCTACATATTACTCTCAAACAATCAATTTTGTCTATAACTGGATGTAACTTTGTCAAGAAAACTTGTGTGTTCTTTCAGTTCTAGTACAAGTAAAGCGGGAAAGTCACCATATGACCTCAGTGTATGCTGGAACCAAAAGTGATTACCCTTTGCCACCAGTATAGAGTCAGGCAGGCTCCCTGCAGTATGAGCAAACTTTATACTGTTGGCAGACCAACTTCAAAATTTTTACCTTGATATATTGATATTTTATACTAGACAGTCCCAGAAATGGAAGCTGAACGAGTCAATTTAGGAAAGACTGCAGATTAAGAGTTTGAACCAGACTAAGAAATTGATCAAGTGTTGAGTAGGAATTTGACGACAAAAGCCCATTTTGTGAAAAGGTTGTTTAACATGATGTCACTATTGTGTCACATAGGAAATTTGGTGCATTTATGTTTTCTATATCTATCTAATCAAATGATAAAAGTGTTTTATATTGTGTCCACATTAGAGCTGTCATAGATAGAAATGTCACTATATTAATGTATGACATTTTTCTTTTGATCAATTATATATACATATACAGGTTTCATACAAATTGAATTATTGATGATTTTAACTAATTAATTAAATGTCAAGAACTGGAAAAAAACAACACTCAAAGCAGGGTGCCCAGTCAGAAGTACAATGAATGTCTAAAACAAAACTATTGTTATGGATGAAGATGTTTCATAGCAATGATGACAAAAGATGACCAGGAAGAAAAAACATGTAAAAGGCATTTATAACCAAAACACATCTTTATTTCATTCATAGAACATGTTTTTATACTGAAATACAAAGAATGACAATAAATAATACTCAATACATGGAAATATTATTGATATAAATATATCGTTGATATATATTTGGACTGAATCAATGACGGCTCTAATCAATACGGTAGCTATATGTTATAACCTTCTGTTCATGTTTATAAAGTACATGTTTAATGTTTCATGATTTTTCATTACCAAGTTGTCAATTAAATCATGTTCTTGTAGCAAAAGTTATGAGTTATGAAATTTACATTTCATAATAAACAGATTTTGAATACAATGCAACAGATTGTTCGATTTTGTTTCCAAATAATTTATTTGACAGCTCACCTTCTGTAAGATATCTTACGGATGGTCATTGGTTTTACTCGGACAGATTCCAGTTCATGCTTGTAATAGTTACAGAGAGGGGCACCTAAGGTGTTCCCCTACCAGTAAAGCTGGTAAGTCGCCATATGTTCTCTGCTGTGTTGGTACGTGGTTAAACCCAACCAAAACAAAGTTTGGCTTAGCACAAAGTATGCAGATGTGAGCTTTTGTCATTATCATTGTGCCTCAAGTTTGTTCCACCATTGTCGTGAGACATATTACAGCAGTGCATGAACCTGGGTCCAAGGTAATGAACAATTTTTCTAAGGTCAAACGGGGTGTCCGTCGCCGAGTGGTTAAGGTCGTTGACTTCAAACCACTTGCCCGTCACCGCTGTGGGTTCGAATACCGGCAGGGACTTTGGATTCTTTCATGTGAGGAAGCTATCCAGCTAGCTTACAGAACGTCGGTGGTTCTACTCAGGTGCCCGTTCGTGCCTGAAATAATGTTGAGGTCTTCCTCCACCAGTAAAGCTGGAACGTCGCGATATGACCTATACTGTGTTGATGTGACGTAAAACCCAAAACAAACAAAAACTAAGGTATACAACAGGCGCTGCGTCGTCTCAAAAATAAAACCATGAATTATAAAACAGCAACAAGAAAATTGAGATTGGCAGTGATTTTGTAAAGGCATCATGGTCTTTTTAAATCCACATACGTACATGTGCAATGCATGCCCGCTTGCCGTGACGGTCAAATATGTTCATATGCTATAATAAAAATATTGTTTTATCGTCTATGAACAGTACATGTACGTGAAATCGGAAGTAGTTTAATCTTTGTCAAAACTGTTTTTTATTTATATAAAATGGCATGATATAGATGATGTACAAACCATAAACAAATAAAACAAAAAGAAAAAGAAAACAAGCAAATAAAATGATCATTTTATTCTTTGCTGTTTTTATTTTTTGTCAATCTTTGTAATGCTAATTACAGGTGAATGAATTACGGGAGCAGTGCACTAGGTAAGTTGAACGGCCTCTGTCAACTTGTTAACTCCTCTATAACTCTTGAATTCCTCCATAATGCCTGAAATAAAATAAAAATATATATCAATTTATTAATGATCATCACAAGACAATTTACTTTTGATTCCAATATCAACGTACATCTACATATGACTTTGATAACAGAATGAGGTCGACAGATTTTCGAAGATATTCTTGGAATAAAATTACAACAATATATTACTAACATGCAGCTTTATTTAGAAACGAATAAGTCAATGTAAATTCTCAAAATTATATATAAGTCAGGTGTCTTCTAATTAAAATTAATGTTAAAAACGGCGGACGTGACAGGCTGACGCTAACAAAAATACATGTAAACAATGGATGTATGAAGAAACGTATATGCATCATGACAATTTTTAAAACTATACAAACCAAGTATCTTTTATTTTATAAAAGTTGGGAAAGTTATTTTTTTTTGATGATGTGCACATGTTATCAATGATTAAAATGTTATGAAGATCAAAACTCATTTTCCACATTAAAAAAAATAAACACAACACAATATTTGTCACCTGAAATAAATTAAACGGCACGTTATCGGTATTTGATGCATTTAGAAGCATTTACATCGAAACAAAAATACGATGATGTATAAATAAACATACAAAAATAGAGAAATTTCATAAAGATTATTTTCGTCAAAAGGAAGTTTTAGGTTTTTTTCTCGAGGAACTGTCGCAGTGATTTAATAGGACAAGAAAGACATTTAAGATTAATGAAGTTTATATAATTTGAATCATTCTTATTTCATAAAGAAGTAAAAAAAAAGTTGGGCCGTTATTATATGGATTTTTTAAATAGTTTTTGATAGAATTTCGGGTTCCTGTGGTTATTGCTACTGACCTAAATTAATCGGGATAAAAATAAACTTGATGACGCTTACGGTAGTGGTTTTTTCTAATCAAATGTACCTTTCAACTGTTTCAGGGTAAATTGAAAACAAACAACGGTAAAAAAATCATCTTTATTTTCGAATGGTAGGCTAATCTAAAAAGTTAAATTAAATATAAAATGAGATTGCACTTGCATTTATTTACACCTGCTAGACACCGACACGGAGTTACGCGGTAATTCTCTCTCGGAGTCACGCCGCTTTTATTTTTGTCTCGGAGTCACTCTCATCACACGTTTCTCACGCGGAGTCACTCGTTTTTATGGACAAATACTCTCGCGGAGTTGCGAGTGTTTTCCTCGATCCTCCGAGGATTTTGCATATTCCTCGTTATCTGTACTGTACTTCAATATAACCCGGCACAAAAGTTCTCCATTGTATGGTTGACTGTTTACATTCAAAATTCAGGTCCTTTCAGACAATGTCAAAAGGATTCATAATGCTGGATACAAATTTTCACTGTTAGATTACAAATGTCACGTTGGTTGTGGTCACATTAGAGGTCAGAGGAAAACATGCTCACATGCAGGACCCAGTAGCTTTTGTGATGGGCATATTTTGTGCAATGGCAATTCTTACTTAGCAATTAAAATGTTTTCACAATGACAAGATTCTATATATCAAATAATAACAACTATCTTACAAAAAAAGATCACGACAATGTCAAAGCACTTGAAACAAGTAATTAAAATGGTAAGGTGGATACTTTTTCAGTGACAAAAAAGCAGATGGGTTAAAATTAAATGAAAATGTTGATTAATGGTGTTATGTATGCAACATATTACATTATAATTTAATCTTATATATTTACCCAGTTTTTTAATTTCCCCAAAATTTTCAAAGTTTTATTTTTTGAACATAAAAAACATTTTAATTTTACTAAAAAGTTCTTTAACCCGTTGTGGGAAAAATCATGCATTATATTTTTGATAGAAATTTCTGGAATGAATTTTTTATTGTTGAATTTCTAGATTATGAAATTACTGTAAAAAATTTGGGAAAACCATTCCAAAAAACTTCCCTTTGTTTAAAAAAAGAAAAAGGAACATTTTCCCTTTCCTTAACTTTAATCCATCCTAACCTTTTTGTCAAACGTGAAACTTTTTAAATCATCAAAAAATATTTGGGTATTATTTTTAAATTGGAAATTAATGATTTTTTGGGGCTTGGGTTTTTAATTACTGTGGATTTAATTTTGGGAAATTTTTTTCTAAAGTGTT